CTCTCATTCAGCTCATGACTCTGAGCCACCTGCAGCTAAGACAAATCAAATAATTACACTATTTAAATATTTAAGACTTAATGAAATAGGAGCCATTTCTGTGTGAAATGCCTTTTAGACCTTTTATTTCCAATAAACTCACATCAGAGGGAGCATCTTGGTAGCTGCTGCCAGGGTTCAGAAACTTCTGGAACCTGTGCGAGGCCACGTCAATCAATTAGACAAGAACATGCAGATTTTAGTTGGTTTGTGTCAGAGACCCAACCTCACCTGAACAAACTGAGGTTTCTGGTCAGAGCTGCAGCCAGAGACGAGTCGGTGTCCTCTGATGAGTCACTGAAACAACAGATGTACTGAAGATTTATACAAACTACATGTTCTCATGGGTTTTACGTCCCCGTCATGTTCAGCATCAAACCACAGACTTCACCTTTTTGTCTCTGCAGCTTCCAGACTGTTCCTGGGTCGGTCGTTTGAATCCGTTACTTCCGTTAAAACCAGCGATCTGCTGTCTGCATCACAGGTAACCAGCTCGGGCAGGTGGCTCTAAAGCAGCACAGAGGTCAAAGGTCAACACCAGATCATCACAAAATACATACGAGTGTTCCAACATCTGTTTGAAATCACTGCATTATGTTTAATTCTTTAAATGAACTTGTGTGAAGGTTCAAATACTTGCCTATTTATTCTAGTATCCCTAAATTATTCTATAATTTACATGTAAAAGGAACTTCTGAACTAAGTCTAATTCAATAAACATTTTATTCTGAAGCACTCAAGTTTTTCTTTCTGTACATTCAGCTGTATTTTTTTTAAAACACAACAAACCTTTAATGCAACTAAAACAGTCAAACGGCATTAAAACCTGTGAAGTGTATGAACCAACGTGTGCGTGTCCCGTTTGATTCTGTCCGTAAAATAAAAACAAATAAGAACACAATATAGACCCCTGTCAAACTATTATACAGTCCTTACATATATTATTGTTGTGTATATCTGAGATCAGCGGTGTCAAACCCACTTAGAAAAGGGGGCCAAAATTAAAACCTTTTTCAAACTAAGGGCCTCTACATCATCTCGGCCCCTCACGATGACTATGGAGACTTTGGAGGTAGAATTATGTCTCCCTCACGCTGCGCCGTCTCCACCGCACCAGCTCGAAAACTGTCGGTACAAACAACGCACAGTTGTGTCCAAAACATTTTCCATGTTCAAAAAGTTTTCTTTGTTCATTCTTCTGTGTGTGTATCCCTCCTGACGCGCGTACGAGCACTGTGGAGACGACGTCGTGAATATGAAGCTCTGAAATTTCAAACATTTATAAACTAATGTCATGCATGAAAAGACACTGATGGTGTTTATGCATCTCAAATATTATTTACAAGAAATGGCAAAATGAGAGAGAGGGATCAGGATCTCATCTCTCTCAGAAAGTAAGAGCATTGCTCGTGTCTGTAAAGATGAAGAAGGAGCGGAGACAAAAGGCAAAGCGCTCGATTTACATGAGGTACAGGTCATCATGACCAGAAGCAAAAGAAACTGGATCCAAGCAGCTAAACTGAGCTTCCTCTGTGGCTCAGCCTTAGAGATGAGGAGCTCAGAGCAAAGTTTTCAGTTGTGAAGGTTACTCAGTGAGAGACTAACGTGTGCCGAGCTGGAGACCTGAGGTGGAGACGGAGCCTTCTGCCAATCACCTGCACCCACCGGATCAGAGATCTGTTGTGTTACTAGAGATGAAAGCAGATTAGAGTCAGAATGACATCACAGTGAAACAAAAACAGTTCATTTATAGTCTAACTAACATAATCACAATTATAGCTCAGTCTCAGCTCATGGGTTTTTTTTAACAGGAGGATTTTAAACAGCTAAAAGCCAGAGAGAAACATTGGTCTAGTCTGAAATGACTTTCCATGAGTCCAGCTCAAAATTCTGAAAACTGCGGTGCGAAGACGGCGTCTTTAAAACCTGAGACAGCTGGGGCGGTTTGCTCAAGAGCAGTGGACCAAACCACCGGTTGGGAACTGCAGACATCTTATTGTGGAATAAAGACCTCACTTGTTCGCAGCTGCAAAAGCTGCTTCTGCTACAAAATACTAAATTAAGACCAACATCTTTACTGTCTGCGACATTTTGTTCATTTGAACGAAATCTTCAACTAAATCAATCAGAACAAAGTCTAAATTAAGTTAAATAAGGAATAAACAAGTCTGTTGTGTCTTCTGTTGTACCCGTGTGGTCACACGAGACTTCCTCGGTTTGTGCCTTGTGTCTGTTGGATGATTTGGAGGCGGTCTGAGGTAAGACGCTGGAGGACAGCCTGACAGGAAGCCAGTCTGCACCAGTCAGACCATTACTGCCAGCAGGGTGTGTGCTGTAGTACGCAAACCTCTTAGCCACCAAGTCATCGTTCACACAGGTCTGGAAGAAAGATAAAGAAAACCATACATTTTAAATCAATCTACTTTAACGTGAGCATTCGACACTTTGAGCAAAACACATTTTTTAATCCACTGCATAAATATAAGCATGACTGAAATCTGACCTTGATGTTGTTGATGGTCAGGTAGAGCTCAATAGAAGTGGAGTCTGACTCCAGTTCAAGCAGCACAGCTTCCGTTTGTGTAGACGCTGTGGAACAGTCTCAGTTTGTGTAAAAAGGTTTTTCATCAGTCCAAAGTAAAGAACATGACCTTGAATATCACCTTGAAGCAAGTTGTGCAGGTAGAGTGTAGTAGAGCTGTCCCAAATACTAGACGGCCTGCAGAGGGGAGGAAATTTAAATACTGACGCTAATGATGCATTTTACTTTCTGTAAATAAACAATATATATATAATTTAAATAGAGGCCTGTACCACGAAGCAGAATTAATGAGTGGTTTGGCTGAATAACTTCAGATTGGAAGTTTCAGCGTTACAAAGCTGAACCACTTTTACCTGGGTCTGTAACCATGGAAACGGATGCCGAAAACCTAATAAAATAAGAGAAGCCTTTATTTGTCCCCAAGGAGGAAATTCAGCACACGAGGGCAGCATTGAAAGCAAGATGAAAACAGCCCCACGCGTTTAATTCAGTTAAAAAATTAAACTAGATCAAAATATAAATTACAATAAGATGTGTTGTTGAGGCGGTGCACCAATATAAGTATCTGCAAACTGTTCTTGATGACAAACTGACCTTTGACCCCCCCCCCCCCCCCCATGTGAATTCACTGCGTAAGAAGACCCACCAGAGAATGTATTTTAATCAGAAGCTCTGTGGTTTTAATGTTGGTTCTACTTTTATGAGAATGTTTTATTCATGTTTTGAGTCTCTCTAACTTTCACCTTTTTCTGTTGGTTTGGACTTTTGACATTTAAGAACAGGAACAAACTCGCAGGGATTGTCAGGATGTGCAGCAAAACTGCTGGCACAGCCCAACAGAACCTCACTGACCTCACCTTGTGTAGGTCAGTGAACAAGGCCAGGCTGATTCTGGCAGATCCTGATCACCACTCCATGGTGAGTTCAGGTTGATTCCATCTGGATGCAGGTATCTGCTGCCCAGATGTAAAAAAAAACCTCATTCATCTCAACGAACAAGGATGATTTCTGTTACTTTATCGTCTCAATGTCTCGTCTAGTATGGATGTTGTGTGTGCCTACTACTGACTGTGAAACACATTGCCCCTCTGGGATAAAGATTACTGAACTTGATAAGAGGTTGGAAAAAAATAATATAAAAAGCAGCGTCTGAAGCTAAATAATTAAACTTTCAATAAAGTACTGGTAACAGTTACACATTTTTGTGGTTGTGGTAATGAGAAGTTTAATAATTTAGTGTAGTGAAGCTTCATCCCTGTGATTTGTCCTCCGACACTCCACCTGTTTTACATGAACACCAGGTCGATTCTTCCTCGTTAAGAGAAGTTGAACCAGAATCCTAAAGAAACCGATGAGCTGAACCTGCTTCGTAGTACAGGACTGATGGTAAGCAGTAATCTAGTCTTACTTCAGCTCCGCCTTCTCTTCACATACAGACACTCGCAGGGTTGTTGGTTTAATTCTTGATAGATGAAACTTCCTGGCCCAGTATGGTAACTGAAGGAAATCACCCAGGGCTACCCGGATCCTTGTTCCAGAAGACAAGAAGAAATATTTAGGCAGCAGCATCACAATTCATTTAATGCAGTTTTACGTGGCAGCCCGACGCTAAAATTTACAAAATAATTCTACTTGTTAAGTTATATCTGTATCCAACAAGGACCAAGTAGAAAAACATAACTTTATACGTTAAAATTAAAATATTACATTTTGGATTCTAAATAAACTTGTCTAAATATTAAACCTTTGGCAACAATGACGAACAGAGTCAAACATCTCTGGAGACAAGAAAAGGCTCCACCAACAGCCCTCGTCCAACCAGACGGAGAAGATTCACAAGAAGAGCAGAACATCCTCTGATCCAGCTCGTGCACCAGACCCAAAAAAACTAAGACTAGAACTGCAGTGTTTCCCGTTCCATTACCCATGGAGGGCGCCCCGCCCTGTCAACAGAACCAAGCACCCTGCCTACCGGGCTCAGCCGCTGCACTCAGCGGACACGTGCGGCCGAGACCCAAACATGTGAGATCACAAAATATCTGACGTCAGAGCAGGATTCAACGCAGGCAGAAGCAGGGGAAGCATTTAATGTGCGTACGGTTCCTCAGCTCTGATCTTCTGCCCCTTCAGCCGCACGCGTCCGCCAATCGTTAATAATAGTCGGTGGTATAAGCAGTTAAAGCTTAATTAAAAATGTTGGGGGGGAGGGGGGTTCGAGTTCGGACCAACAATTACTGTTATTTCGTCGAATCGGGTGGGGTTCGGAGATGATGGCTTCGGGCTGGGGTCGGTTCAGATTATTTGGACCCGAGTGCAACTCTACCCCCAATGCAGTGCCGCCACTTCCCGACGGGGACCGGAGATTAGCAGTTCAGCTCAGACTCTAAACTGCGTGCAATACAAACATAATACTAAGCTAATCGACCTTTGCCTCCTGCATGCAACTTAAATGTAGCACTAAGCTAATCGACCCCTGCCTCCCATGTGTAACTTAAACGTAGCACTAAGCTAATCGACCCCTGCCTCCCGTGAGCAATACA